CCCACCCAGGGGCATGGTGTAACAAGCGCATTTGACCAGTACTACGCCTTCCTCAAAGGCTAATACTATTGGATGCTAGGCACTTCCTGGAGGCATTTAGCATACCCATCTCCAATTGATTTCAACTGGGGGCTGAAGTAAGGCACCATGGCCTGAATGGACCCTTCAAATGTATCTTTCCAGAGCCACACATGAGGGGTGGGGAGAAGGCAACAGGAACCAATCAATTAACTACACTGGTACCAGGAGAGAAGCAAAGTTAAGCTTCCTGCCACTCCCCTTGAGTCTACCCAACTCTGCCACCAACAGATCTCAGCCAGGACTTCCTACAGCCCCAACCTCCAAAATCCAGCAGCATCCACTAGGTTATACACGCACTCCCCAGCATTAGCCCCCACACACCTCCTTTAGATTCTCTACCTCTTTTCCCCCATCATGGCACACAGAGCGCCACGTTATCAAATACCCTTTAGCAGCAAAAATCCAGTACATCCATTAACCAACTCCATCCTGTACTAGCAAATAATTTTGTTTATTGCCATGACACCAAACAATTCTGTGTCACCACAAAGAACTGAAGAATGCATTTAATAAGGATTGTACAATTGAAATCAAAGCAAGAAACAACAGGTGTTTTGGGAACAGTGCACGGATAAAAGTTGAAATCCGCTTGTTTTGAAGCTCTTATTAATTACAATACTAAAAAACTTCCGTGGCTGAATGTTTCAAACATAGACAGTTAATTTCACAACAAGTTAAAACAATGGCTATTTATAAATTATAACATTTCACCTCATAATACATAGATAATAGCTCAAAAACCACCACCTATCCTAGAGTAAATGACAGACAGATGTACCATAGAAGTCTTGCATAACAGAACATCACAGTGGGAAAGAACCTGTATTCGATACCTGCCTTGTAATACAGCTCCTTACTGCTGCATTATTTAAGCAGTTGTTACAATGCCTATTGTTTCTGATCCTTTAATGCATAACACTGGAACTGTGTTCTAGTCATACCAGTGAGCTTATGTTTGACCCAACAATCTACAGTTTAGGAAGCAGAAGTTCAATATTCTATCATTAGGCAGGGGAATTCAATAGTTGGGGACAATGTTCAGCAGTTAGAGAGAGGTATGAGGCTAGCAACAAATTTGTAATATTAATATCTCCTTTCCTAATTACACAAAGCTGAATTAAAGATAAGCAAAACAAGAAGTCCTTAGGACAGAATATACTTGCTGCCAAGGGAGGGAGGATGAGGAGAATAAGGAAGGAGTGGTAGCCCTAAGTGACAAGATGGGTTAAGTGTCTTATTTTAGTTGAGTTACTGCCTTTGAAAAACTTCATGACATATTGACTTGGAAGGGTAAGGGCCTCCTTAGCATAAGTTCCGTGCTCTGTTCTGCAAGAGAAAATAAGATCTCTTAAGAGTCTGCCTAAGCCCCCTTAAATCAGCCCTAATAAAAATGCAGCAGCTCAGCCATCACATAACCATCCCGCTCACCAGTTCATGGAAGCTTTGATTTTAATCAGCCTTGCTGACAGGAAATTCAGAGGAAACCACTTCTAAAATTTCACTTTTTATTACCTGCTATTTACAGGATGGCACTAGAAAATTTATTTGTCTTTATATAGCTTGGGAGACATTTTATTTTTGTCTTAGAGTCTTGACATTGTATTATGCTATTCATTTTCTTACACTTCAACAAGCAATTTATGTCAATCTACTCAAATGTGTACAAATGACCATAAAAGCCCTATTTTGATTCCTTCTTTGAAGTGAAGCACACGCATTATCTCATGGCAGGGCAATTATTCATTTCTCTATTTTAAATATTCTACATATGGAATAAAAGCAATCTTTGGGACAGAATACATTCAGTAATTGTGTTGACATTAAGTTTTTTCTACATTTTTTACCTGTCTCTAAATAAAAAACAATGAATAGTCTAGCAGCATCTTAGAGAATAACAAAACATGTAGATGGTACCATGAGATTTCGTGGATACAACCCACTTCTTCAGATTTAGAGTGCTTCTTCCTGTCTCAGATGCAAGAAGCTGCACCTGAATTCCCCTTCCATGGTCCCTTCAGGGTATTCTAGGCTCCTGAGCCACCACATCTCTTGGATACAGACCCATGTCCCTCCCACTGCTGATAAGGTTTTTCTAGGCTGCACAGTTCCCTGTCTACAATGTCATATGTCAACCAACCTGGACTGTCTAAATCGTCTAGCCTTTGCTTTCTCTTAGAAGGCTATAAACAGTGTAATTGCCAGTGGCTAGAAGTTACTCCACAGGTCTTTCTAAGCAAGCACATTTATTCTAAAGGTAAAAACAGTACAGAGAAAACATATTAAAAACAACAGAAAAAGTTACACATGTGTGAATAAGATTACCAGAGACCTTTCCCAACTCCAGCAAGAATGAGGTAGGAGACACTCCTTCAACCACACCAAGGCTACATCCCTGGAAAAGGGATGTTAAATATCCCCCGCGGCATTTGCATTAACATGGCTGCCGCTTTTTTCCGGCTTGGGGAAAAGCCGGAGAAAAGCGCCAGTCTGGAGGTTATTCTCCGGAAAATAAAGCCTTTTCCGGAGGATTTCTTATTCCTACTTTCAAGTAATTTTCAAGCTGCTTTGGCGACATGACAGTGTAGACGCAAAGGATAGTGTAGATGCAATAACGCCTTCTGTCAACAGAACTCTGTCAACAAAAGGCGTTATTCCTCATAGAATGAGGTTTACAGCTGTCGACAAAACTGCTGAGTTCTGTCGACGTCATGTTGACAAAACTCAGCAGCAGTGTAGACGCAGGTATAGTTTTGTTGACAAAAGTCCACTTTTGTCTACAAAACCCTGTAGTCTAGACACACCCTTAGTGACCTAAGGGAAACAATAAAAGGTAAGGGATATTTCAGATTTTTCATCATTCACAATGTATTAATGTAGTCACACCACATCTACTCTTCTCAAGTACAGATGAAGTACAGTCAGATTGAGATGTCAACAGATGACATGCTGGAACAAATGAGTAATTAGATCAGCAAGTCACCAAGACCAGATGGTTAAGTTTTGACAGGATTTTAATATAGAGGCACATTTTAATGACAATCTTTGCAGTTCAGAACTTCATGCTTGAGGACTGTAGTGCAGAAATAGCGTACCTCTAAAAACCAGACCTACTGGGGCATTACAGATCCAGAAGCCTTACTTCAGAAAGTAGGCAAAAATTGTGGCTAACAATAGCAAAATATATATGTACTGAGCTGCACTGAGACGTGAACAAATACTTATTGCAAAATATAAGCAGCACTAATGGCATTTTTAGCATTACCCCCAATGACAGATAGTATTGTGCTGTAAGAGAAAAAAATGTTTTCATTTCACTTAATTATAATAAAATATATAAACACATTACTTTTTTATGATGGGCATAAAGGGAAAGGGATATTACACAGATACTGTATGTCTATTCAGTCACATTATGATTGAGTACTTATACATTCAGATTACATTCTGCAATATAAGCCATTGACTAGATATTTTATGCAAATAGAATTGCTACAGAAAATTATTTTGTGATCTTCCTGATTAGAAAATATTCAAGTGCTTAAAGTCTGCCTACGCTCACAACCTCACTTCATCCACTGCTCTCTACAATGTCATCAAACATTCCTGAACACAGATTCATTGCCTCCTCAAAACACAACTCTGGAAAAAATTAGCTTAAACCTTAGACCTATTTTTATTAAATAAAGCAAAGGCACCCATCACAAAGCTTCATACATGAATAGAAGCAGTTGTTTAAAACTGAAAGCCTACTGAGTTAAAATTTGTTTAGGTTGCTGTTTCTAGTTAATTTTGCTAACTAAAATGTGGCAATGCTCTACAAGGCAGAAGGACCATTTCCCCTGAGTAATAACTACTTTTTGGCATAGTGTCTGAGCTCTTGGACCCGGTCTGATATGAGCTGCCTGTCCGCCTGGCTCCTAATACGCTTTAAATCCTGAGTTGAAGCAGGGGTAGGTCCTGGATCCGGCACAAGCCAGAACTGAGCTGGGCTGCTGCCCAGCCTGCTAAAAAATTACTGCCAAGGGGGGGGGAAGAAATATGTGTAGTCTATAGCATTAACCGATAAGCTTTTGCTTATCGGTTAATCAACTGTACTATTACATCCCTAATGAAGACCAAGACAGAAAATCAGACCCTCAACTCAGACATATTTGCTCAGCCAGCCTGTATTTCACAGCTTAATGGACAAGAAATTACAATTATCCTGGGTGCATTAGTTTACTAACACGTCTGGCCTACAGCTGAAAATGAGAATTGTACTTTATGCTTCAGGTTCTTATACTTATACACAAAACTGCTGAACAAAGTTAATTTACCTGCCAGAAATCATTAGTATTTTGTTCCTTCTCTGGCTCAGCCAGCTATGTCCATACTGCATTTTGGAAAGAAGACAAATGGCTAATTAGGTGTTGGTTTCACCCAAAATTAGAACTGCCATTTTCTTAGATAAACCAAACTGGAGTTCCACAGGCTGCCAACGTAAAGTTGCCTTTATTTCTCTTTAGCTGTTTACCGGCTTTATTCCCAATGTAACTGCCTGTAGTTTTTTCCTTGAGACATCAATTACAAAACAACTGTTTTGTGGCCAACACACTGAAGTGAGTTTAATAGATAATTTAAGAAGCTGAGAAAAGCAGATCATGGGTCAAAAATTATGCAAAATGGAAACCAATACTTCAGAACATTTCAACAGAATTCCTGGTTTCCAAAAAAACACAAGCCAGCCCATTGTGTACAGTGTCCCTAATCTATTCTCTATAGCTGATGAGAGAATTTCTTCACACTACAATTTCATTTAAAGCTTTGATCATCTTTGCCACTGCCATTATGGTTACACGTCAGTATTTCTAAACACTGATTATTAAAACTGTGAAAGACATCACATTTAAATAAAAGTTCACTGTGTGTGGACATTTTACCTGTTACCAAGGATAGGCTCTCCAGAAGCACCCAGTGCTGAATAGTCCATGCCATAGAAATTCAGACCCAGAAGAATTTTACTCCTCCATTTGGATTCAGGGTCAAGAACCTGAACGCAAGCCCGTACCCAGGGAAGAGGGGAGTTTGGGCCAGGCCTGTTGGGTCAGCAATGAAATAAACAGGATGTCAGAAAGAGCAAAGGCTTATTTTCAGATAAGAGCAGCTTTGTATTCTTGAATGAATTATAACTTGATTAGCAAACTGTGGCTCGTGCAAATTAGAAAGACTAACTGGACAGTTGCTTGTAGTTACGCATAACCTACTTTTCAAATGACATTGTGATCCCTTTCTAACATAAAAAAGGCACCAAAACATCTCACATAAATCAGAAGAGAAGGCTTCTATGGTTCCACCCAGCATTTCTTCTGCTTCAGGGGGCCTGGGATAATGCCCACAAAAGAATTTAAAATACACATTTCCATGATGTGTTTTGTATACCATTCTGATATTTACTGTTGCACTGCAACATAACGTATGGGACCTGATCCAGTTCATTGCACAAGGAGTCAATGATTGGTGAGCAGAATTCAATCCACTGTTGCTTAAGATTCCTACCTTGTAGTAATGAATGCAGAATTATGTGGATGGGCAATGGCATCATAATTAAAAGCCATGCTGTAAAATGAACAGTTAAACTATGCAGCTGTCATCACATGCATCAAGCACTCAGTCGCCAAACATAAGGAACGACATATTCCAGTCTTGTGAATATCACTGGCTTTCATGGTCTTCTGACCGACTACCTCAAAGTGTCTTGGATAGCTGTACAATGAAAACTAAAATCTAAATAGTAAGCTTATTATTCAGAAAATACTTTGCTAAAATTATGAGTTCATTTTAAAGGTAATAGTATAGCATTGAAATGGGCATAGCATCATATGTTTAAACTAGTCTTGGCACAATTGGATTTTCTGTTTAATAATTTCAACAAATATTTGTGTTTATTTTAAGCATTTTTTTCTATTTTTATCAATTTAAATTTCACAACTTCAGGAAATTATAGGGAGTCTGAGAATTATTTAAAGACAGTATATGTAGATATTCAAAACGTAAACACTTTATAACCATTAAAACTCTAAATTCCAACACCATGTGTCAAAACATGTAAATTAAATAGCCTTAAATCAAACTCTGATAAGTTTTCAAGGAGCATTTTTCATACTTTGTCTAGCTGTAAATTTTGATCATTAATGGAAGTATTTTTCATTTGTTTATGTTTATACAGTAAAATTGATGCCTATCTACATTTACCAATTAATACCCCCCCCCCCCCCCACAACCCTTCCAAGCCTAGATAAGATCTATCAAAGGAAGTTCAGAATAAAAGATTAAAACCAGTTGAAAAAATACTATCTAAAGCTAATGTATTATTATAGAATCCCATTTCTTTTAATAATGGAAATGGCGTGTGTCATTACAGACTCTAAAAGAAGTGATTCCTTGTGCAAAAAGAGCAGCTGAACTGCAGTAACTGCAGATTTAAGCAACTTTATGCACTAGTTAAAGAACTGACCCATGTCTCCATAACACTGCTTAAAACTAAAGCTGCTGTTCCAGCTAAATTCCACCTCAAATTGAAATGATCTCTTGTAGCTGTTTGACTTTGATACCTAGCTCAAGATCAAACAAATGTAATACACTTTGGGCATGTCTACACTGCAATGCTGTTTCGAGATACCAGAGGTATCCTTTTGAATGCATTCACTATTGCAAAATATAGCAGACATGCTAGACATGCTATTTCGCCATCCCCGTAAATCTCATTGTACGAGGCATAAGAGATGTCTCGAAATAGTGTTTTATTTCACAATCTGATGCTGTGTAGATGCTCCAAATTTCGAAATAGCCTCAAAATAAGCTACTCAATTTGCGTAGCGCAAATTGTGTATCTTATTTCGAGTTTCAGGTGCTGTGTAGACACACCTTTGGGCAAAAGTTTTTAAGGCTTTCTTGAGTCAGCTTTGTAGATTTATCAGTGGCTAGATTCTCTATTTTGAAAGTGTCTATACAGATAAGTATATAGAGATAATAATGCAACATTAGACATTTTAAGCAAACATTCTTGGCAATATTGTATTCCACTGCCAGCTACAAGTAAATGGCAGTTGGACAGAGATCCTAAGCAAAACTTTCAGGGTTACTTTGACAAGCTCCTGTTTTGTCACTCTTTCATCTCATTGTGTAGGCTTAAGAAACCTGTGACATAGTTGGCTAGAACTGGAACATGTTTCAGCAAAGAGAATTTAAAAGAAATACACTCAAATCTCTGTTCTCATTTAGCATTTTTTTTTTATTGTTGAGAATAGGCAATGAAAATGGAAAAGATGGGATGATGTAGAGGTGAGGAAGATACAGAAACCCTTTACAGAAAATAAAGGCAAACTTCTTTTAAACATTTGGCTGGAAAAACAAGCACCAAACACAAACCTTTCTAGAGGTTATCAAAATGCTAATATACTAAATATGACAAAGCCCCCTAAGGAGTACTAAGGATTAGAACCAGTGAATGGTATTCTCCCTAACAGCAGGGAGAATTCTGCTGTAATGGCAGGGACAATTTATTAATTCACCTCAATATTGACCTTGGGAAACCAATTTTCAGTTTTGTAGTGTAAATTCTGCGGGAGCTTCAGAAGCATATTTTCACCAGGAACTTGAGTTTGAAGTCAACCTCAGCCATTAGGAATGAAGGTATTTAGCATAGCGTTTTAAAGCAGTATCTACTCTATAACCAAATTAGGCAAGCACAAGCATAAGTGGTGCTCAATACTATTCTCCCACAGAATGAAAATACACTTGTACATCCATCCCATCATAAGTTTTGAAACTGCACCAAATAGAGTCTGAAAGTAAAAAGCATCTTACATAGAAGAAACAAATGTCCGTTACCAGCAAACAAATTCTAGTCCCTTTAAGAGATCTGGACATTCAATTTCTACTCAAGTTAATGACAATAAAGCATCTTAATTGTAGATAGCTTTAAAGGCTTTGCCTTCATCCATAATCCTTATTTGCTAACTCCAAAACCTTATTTGTTAAAACAAACTATCCACTCTTCCTGTGATCAGCCAAAGCTGTTGTTTTCACAGCTACATAAATGACCATAAGTTTCTGGTTAGCTGTGCTCAGCCATGTATCCTTACCGTTGCGGTGTTGAATAGTCATATGTCATGAGACTGAAGCTGTCGATGACAGGGGCCAATTGATCAAATTCTTTCTTTGTGAACATTCCCAGCTGGTTGGTCCTTCCAACAAACAAAAAGACAAAGTATTACATACCCTGAGTTACTCTCTCTCTCCTAGATTAGAAGAATGGAATTTAGTTTAAGTTTTATCACATAGCACAAAACTTTCATTTTGGGATTGCAGTAAAACACCTTAGTGAAGTTCTTAAAATGAATTCTTAAGACAAGATATTCAGAACTACTACACTGCCTATGGGAAAATATCAAAGAATTGGCCACAGTGATAATATATTTTTAAAGATAAATTTGCAATATAAGTACAACAACAGAATAGACAATAGAAAATAGACAGTAGAAAAACTATGTTCTAATCAAATATCTTCATGTAATATTGGACTGAATGAATATACTAATTAAGCTGTTCCTACAAAAAACATGAAAGAAATAACTTCTTGAGAAAAGGCCCTTCCCTCATATTCACGTCATATGAAATGGCAAAAGTAGTCTATGCTCCACTAAGATAACAATTTTTTCAACAAGTTAAACCCATTGGCTACGTCTACACTGGCCCCTTTTCCGGAAGGGGCATGTTAATTTCAGCTATCGTAGTAGGGAAATCCGCGGGGGATTTAAATATCCCCCGCGGCATTTAAATAAAAATGTCCGCCGCTTTTTTCCGGCTTTTAGAAAAGCCGGAAAAGAGCATCTACACTGGCCCCGATCCTCCGGAAAAAGCGCCCTTTTCCGGAGGCTCTTATTCCTACTTTGAAGTAGGACGCTTTTTCCGGAGGATCGGGGCCAGTGTAGACGCTCTTTTCCGGCTTTTCTAAAAGCCGGAAAAAAGCGGCGGACATTTTTATTTAAATGCCGCGGGGGATATTTAAATCCCCCGCGGATTTCCCTACTACGATAGCTGAAATTAACATGCCCCTTCCGGAAAAGGGGCCAGTGTAGACGAGCCCATTTTGTTTCTTTTTAACCACAAACTCTCAAATAATGGAATGACCACCACCTGTTGCTGTCAGCAATAGATGTTGGTATGTACCTGGCAGCTCTTAATATCTTTAAAAAGCAGAGGAACAGCAACTGAGCCCAGGCTCAAGCCGGGGAATCAGCTGATTCCCGTTTTGCGCCCGGTCCCTCACTATGCCTCTGCCTCTTTTGCCCCCCCCCCCCCCCAGAGATGGTGCTGGGGGGAGTCAGCTTTTAAGACAGCTCCTCCTAGCATCAGATCCTGCTCCCCACTCTTGCTGCCTCTCTCTGATACAGGCAGCAAAGGATGGGGGGAAGTAAGTAGTTGAGTCAGTACTCAACAACCCAATAAGTATATGATTATATCTCTAATGTACATTTGATTTGAGGTTGTACACAAGTGCTACACAAACAGTAATAAAGATTACTCTGAAAAGGTGTTGCAATAACTGAATTCTGAGATATAATTTAATGAGGTCAATTGGCACCATTTAACAATATGTACAAAAATATTAGATCTCATAGGTCTTTTGGAATGCTAAGTTGTACAAGTCTATATAAGAGAATGACTGAATTCCCTTATTAAATATAGTAATTTTCCTCCAATAATTGACTTTAAGAAATAACCCATGATCTTATATGAAGAAAAGTGGGAATCCAAAAACTGGAAAGCTTGGCAAGTGGGGGAAAAAAAGCAGAGGAAAGGTTGGTTTCCTGGAAGATTAGCAAAACCTGGAATTCAGGTTAAATGTAGTTAGCAGAAGGGGGAAAATTGCAAAATACGAGTCTATAAATTTTCTTGACTTCAGTAAAGCAAGGACTTCAGTAAAGCATGAGTTTCTCTACTGCAAGCTTAAATGAAGGAATCATTTTAACAAATTTATCTTGTAAAAATAACATAAATCTTGGGGGAGTGGAGGGCTGGTTATTTTTAGAATTACCCTTATTTATATAGCTTCAGATTGGTAGCTGAGTTAGTCTGCAACTAGAAAACCTTAAACAACAAATCGTCTTGCAGCACCTTACAGACTATACGATACCAACTAATGTTTTGTTAGTCTCTAACGTGATGCAAGATGATTTGTTGTTTTTTAAGTTTTTCCTTATTTATATAACCAAGCGTTAAGTCTCCAACCCAACTTCATGTATTTTGTTAGTTACAGTCATGGAGAACCCCCTGAATTTCCACTGCTTTCTTTTTAAGCAGGCAGGGACATACTCACAAGGGACTCTTTAAAATTCCTTCAAAGGGTAGTGGTCATAACAGCAGAGAAGAGGCAAGTTAAAACAACATTATGCCCCTTCCTACCACTCTCCTCAGGAAATGTAAAATAGCCTTGACAAAAACATACCCCTATATTGTGACAAATATAGGAGAAGACACTGGAATGAATGCCTGTGCCCCCAGCAAGGCTGGATTAACTTTTCTGGGGGTCCACAGCTAGTAGATTTTGTGGGGTTTCCTAGGCTTCAGGGTGGATCCAAAAATGAGGTGTTCAGTTTGCAGGAGGTGGCTGCCGGGAGCGTGATGGGGCCATGGGGTCTGAACAGACATAAGGTACAGGAGTGGGCTGAAGGTATGGGATCATGGTGAGAAGTAGGGTGCAGAAGTGGATGGGAGTGCCGGGTCTGGGTGGGAGGTAGGGTACAGGAGGGGACAGAGGATTGGGGTGCTTACTCAACAGAGCTCCCAGGGGGTTGCAGGCTCTGCTCTCCACTGTTCCATTGGTTGCAATTCCCAACTAATAGAAATGACAGGGGCAGAGCTTGCAGCCCCTAAAGGTCCTTTTATACTCCTGTCCTGTTTCCTGGCAATAGGGATATGGGAGATACAGGGAAGAGAGAGAAAAAGAAAAACAACTCACTCCCTCCTAAGTCACAGCTAAACATGGGAGGAATACTACACAGGACCAATGTGCGTTAGTTGCTACAAACCCACAAGGGGAGAAGCAATTCTCGATTTAGTCCTGAGTGGAGTGCAGGATCAGGTCCAGGATATAACCGTTACAGGACCGCTTGGGAATAGTGACCATAATATAATAACATTCAACATTCCTGTGGTGGGAAGAACACCTCAGCAGTCCAGCACCCTGGAATTTAATTTCAAAAAGGGGAATTACACAAAAATGAGGAGGTTAGTTAAACAGAAATTAAAAGGCACAGTGACTAGAGCCAAATCCCTGAAAGCTGCATGGAAACTTTTTAAAGACACCATAATAGAGGCCCAACTTAAATGTATACACCAAATTAAAAAACATAGCAAGAGACCTAAAAAAGAGTCACCGTGGCTTAACCACCATGTAAAAGAAGCAGTGAGGGACAAAAAGGTATCTTTTAAGAAGTGGAAGTCCAATCCTAGTGAGATAAATAGAAAGGAACAGAAACACTGTCAAATCAAGTGTAAACATGTAATAAGAAAAGCAAAAAAAGATTTTGAGGAACAGCTAGCCAAAAACTCAAAAAGAAATAAAATGTTTTTTAAGTACATTAGAAGCAGGAAGCCTGCTAAAAAACCTGTGGGTCCCCTAGATGATCGAGCTATAAAAGGAGCAATCAAGGACGATAAAGCCATTGCGGAGAAACTAAATGATTTCTTTGCTTCAGTCTTCACGGCTGAGGACATTGGGGAGATTCCTGAATCTACACCGTTCTTTGTGGGTGACGAATCTGAGGAACTGTCGCGGATTGAAGTGTCATTAGAGGAGGTTTTGGAACAAATAGAAAAACTTAATGTTAACAAATCTCCGGGACCAGATGGCATTCAAGGGTTCTAAAAGAACTCAAATGGGAAATTGCTGAGCTATTATCTGTGGTGTGTAACCTATCCCTTAAATTGGCTTCCGTACCTAATGACTGGAAGGTAGCCAACATGACACCAATATTTAAAAAGGGCTCTAGAGGCGATCCTGACAATTACAGACCGGTAAGTCTAACTTCAGTACCGGGCAAATTAGTAGAAACAATAGTAAAGAATAAAATTGTGAAGCATGTAGAAGAACATAATTTGTTGGACAAAAGTCAACATGGTTCCTGTAAAGGGAAATCCTGTCTTACTAATCTATTAGAGTTCTTTGAAGGGGTTAACAAACATGCGGACAAGGGGGATCCAGTAGATATAGTATACTTAGATTTTCAGAAAGCCTTTGACAAGGTCCCTCACCAAAGGCTCTTGTGTAAATTACATGGCCATGGGATAAGAGGGAAGGTCCTTTCTTGGATTGAGAACTGGCTAAAAGACAGGAAACAAAGGGTAGGAATAAATGGTAAATTTTCAGATTGGAGAGGGGTAACTAGTGGTGTACCCCAAGGGTCAGTCCTGGGACCAATCCTTTTCAACTTATTCATAAATGATCTGGAGAAAGGGGTAAGCAGTGAGGTAGTAAAGTTTGCAGATGATACCAAACTGTTTAGGATAGTCAAGACAGAAGCAGACTGTGAGGGACTCCAAGAAGATCTCACCAAACTGAGTGATTGGGCAACAAAATGGCAAATGAAATTTAATGTGGATAAGTGTAAAGTAATGCACATCGGGAAAAATAACCCCAACTATACGTACAGTATGATGGGGGCTAATTTGGCTACGACAAATCAGGAAAGAGATCTTGGAGTTATCGTGGACAGTTCTCTGAAAACTTCCACACAGTGTGCAGCGGCGGTCAAAAAGGCAAATAGGATGCTAGGAATTATTAGGAAAGGGATAGAAAATAAGACCCAGAATATCTTACTGCCCCTGTATAAAACTATGGTACGCCCACATCTTGAATACTGTGTACAGATGTGGTCTCCTCACCTCAAAAAAGATATTTTGGCCTTGGAAAGGGTTCAGAAAAGGGCAACTAAAATGATTAGGGGTTTGGAACGGGTCCCATATGAGGAGAGGTTAAAGCGACTGGGACTTTTCAGTTTAGAAAAGAGGAGACTGAGGGGGGATATGATAGAGGTCTATAAAATCATGAGTGGTGTGGAGAGGGCTGATAAAGAAAAGTTATTTATTAGTTCCCATAATAGAAGAACTAGAGGACACCAAATGAAATTAATGGATAGCAGGTTTAAAACTAATAAAAGGAAGTTCTTCTTCACACAGCGTG